ATGTAAATGGACATTCCGACACTGAGGCCACCTGGGATGGGTCTCTTGTAGGGCAGAGTCTGTAGAAGGGGCCAGTTGAAGGGCCTCAGAGGCTGTCTGCCTCACACAGCCCTTCCCCCACACCCCAAAGACACCCCCCCCCCCAGTCCCTTAAGCCCGGGAGATGAAACTAGAGTGAGGAGCTGGAGATGTGGCTTGCCCAGCATAACAAAAGGGGCAAAAGGTTTGGGGATGCGGGCTCAGGTGGGCGTCTCACCGGGTTGTAGGTGGGCTGGTACCCCGGCGCTGGGACAAAGGCCATCTTGAGGGTCTGAGCTGATAGCTTGTCCTGGGAGAAGTGAGGGAGTGTGGAATGGCGGCAGGCTGCAGTGGCCTTATACTAGAGGGAGTGGCCATCAGGGAAGAGTTCATGAAGCCTCTCTAGTGGGGATCTCTAGGGCACACCCTCGTCTGCCATTCTGGCAGGGATGCTGACCTCCAACGTCCCCCACAAAGAGGAAGTATTCCTGGACTTCGACCTTGCCTGACTTTATCAGAGTCGTAAAGCCCTGCCTTGAGGACTGTTAGCAGAGGGAGGGTAAGGTCAGGTGGGCAGGGCAGGGGCTGGGCCACTGGAATATCTGGACAGGTGGCCAGTAGAAGCAAGCCAGAATGAGAGAGGAATACTATGTACCTCCTGGCCTTGCACTCTGTAAGACAGAGCCATAGAACACACCAAGCCGGGGCCCTGGGTGCTGGGGCCCACCCTTGTCCCTTCCCGGCTATCCAGAGCTGGTACCTCACTCTCAGTCTGCCCATTATAACGTGGGGAAATAATATCCACCTCGGAATGAACAGCAGTGATTGTACTGGGGACCCCAACACGTGGAAGGTGGAGGCAGGAGGATTACTGCAAGCTTGAGGTTGGCTTAGTTGGTAGAATGCTTGCCTGGCCTGCAAGAAACCCTGGGGTTCACATCAAGCACTACATAAACAGAGCTGTGAAGGGCGCCAGGGTCCAGCAGCCATGACCAGGATGTTCCAGGGAGATCAAGGTCATCCTCTATTACACAGTGAATTCAAGGCTGGGCTGGGCTACATGAGATCCTGTCCCATACAAATGAAAACCCAGCAACAAAGCCAAGTGTGATGGCTGCAATCCCAGTACTCGGGAAGCAGAGGCAGAATTACTTGCAAGCTCAGGGCAGCCTGGTTTACAGAGCAAGATTCACCTTAAACAACAATCTGAAGCCAGGCATTGGTGGCGCACGCCTTTAATCCCAGTGCTCAGGAGGCAGAGGCAGAGGCAGGTGGATCTCTGTGAGTTCGAGGCTAGCCTGGTCTACAGAGCGAGTTCCAGGACAGGTTCCAAAGCCACAGAGAAACCCTGTCTTGAAAAAAAAAAGAAAAAAATTATAAATTAAAAAAAAATATGGGCGTGGTAGCATTGTTGTTCTTTTGCTGCGCAGCTAATGCCTAAGAAACACAAACACGAGACTCAGTGCCCACGTGGAGTTTATTGAGAGAAGGGAGAGAAAGAGGGGGTAGCTGGTGGCCAACTGAAAGCAGGAGAGAGAGAGAGAGAGCGGGGGGGGGGGGGTCAGAGAGAGAGCAAGAGAGAAACCAGAGAGGGAGCAAGAGAGAGGGGCGCTTAGCGTGCTTGCTTTAAAGGGGGGCTTGCGCATGCGTAACTGAGTCCTCTGGCAGCCAGGTAAAGCTCGAGCCGCCAGGTAAGGTGATGTAGCGATGACATGGCCATGAGCGTCCCGCCCATCATCTGGGGCGGGGGTCAGCTGGCTGCTAGTTCCTAACGAGCATCACCTTTAATGCCAGCACTCAGGAGGCAGAGGCAGGTGGTTTTCTATGAATTGGAGGCCTGGTTTGCATAGTCAGTTCTGGAACAGACAAGGCTATGTTTCAAAAAGAGACCCTGCCTTGAAAGAGAGAGAGGGGAGGGAAGGAGGGAGGAGAAAGTAGAAAAGAAAGAAGAGAGGGAGGGATGGACAGAGGGAGGGAGGGAGGGAGGAAAGAATTCACGCCAGGAGACAGAATGTCATGTCTGTGATCTGAACACTAGGGAGGTTGAGGCAGGAGGATTGCTGCGAGTTTGAGCACACGTGCCGGAGGGGGGTAGGGCTACCTGTTCTGGTTGCACAGGCCTTTAACCAACGCCAGCTGTTCAGGAGGCTGAGGCATGAGGGACATTTCAAACCCTGCCTGTCTCAAAAGAATAATACTTGTTAGGCATGGTGGCACACACCTATAATCTCAGCGCTTGAGAAGTGAAGGCAGAGGGATCAGGAGTTCGAGGCCAGATTCTGTCTTCAAATAAAAAAGAAAGAAGGGATGGGGGACGGCACTGAGGAGACGGCTCAGCAGTCAGCGAAGACTTCAGCTCAGCAACAGCGCACACAGGACTCCCAGCCCTGGAAGAGGCAGAAACAGGCCCTAGGTCCCTGGGGCTTGCTGCCTAGCCAGCCTAGCATAATTGGAGGCTAGGTAGAGGGGCTGGAGAGAGGGCTCATCATGCAAGAGCGTGTTCTCGCAGGGCGCCTGGGTTTGGTTCCCAGCACCCACACTGGCGGCTCACAAGCAGCTGTCACTTCAGTTCCAAGAATCACATGCCCTCTTCTGACCTCTGATGGCACCCGTGATCCTACATATGGTGTCCTAGCTAATTTTATGTCAGCTTGACAGAGCCAGTCACCTGAGAGGAAGGAAACTCAGTATCGAAAATGCCTTGGTAAGGGTTGCAGGCAGATAAACGTGGAAGGCATGTTCTTAATTAGTGATTGATGGAGCAGGGCCAGCCCATTCGTGAGTGGTACCATCCCTGGACAGGTATTCCTGGCTTTTATAAGAAAGCAGGTTGAGACAGTCATGGGGAGTAAGCCAGTAGGCAGCACGCTCCACGGCCTCTGCATCAGCTCCTGCCTCCAGGGTCCTGCCCTGCGTGAGTTCCTGCCCTGACTTCCTTTGATGATGAAGTGTGATGGGAAGTTTAAGTGAAATAAACCCTTTCCTCCCAGATTTACTTTTGGGCATGGTGTTTTGTTGCAGCAGTAAAAACCGTAAGACAGACATACAGACATACAAAATAAACGAAAGAATATTCAAAAGCCAAACCTAGTCAGGGCTGCAGAGATGGGCTCAGCAGTGAAGATCACATGACCTGGCTTACAACCATCTATAACTTTAGTTTCAGGGACCCAACACCCACCCTTTCCACCCCTGTCAGGCACCCATGGGTGACACATGCATGTGCTACACACACATACAGGCAAAACCCCATACATAAAATAAAATTAAAAGGCAAAACCCAAGGGGGCTGGTGGTGGCAAACGCCTTCAATTCCAGTACTCGAGAGGCAGAGGCTGATGGATCTGAGCTAAGGCCAGGCTGGTCTACGGAGTAAGTTTTAGGACAGCCAGGATTATTACACAGAAAAATCCTGTCTCAGGAAAAACAAAACCGGGGGCTGGAGAGAGGGCTCATCGATTAAAAGCACTGGATACTCTTCCAAAGGTCCTGGGTTCAATTCCCAGAGTCTACATGGCAGCTCCCAACTGTCTGTGACTCCAGTTCCAAGGAATCTGGCACCCTTACATAGACATACGTGCAGGCAAAACATCAATGCACATGAAATAAATAAATCTTTAAAGCAGAAAGAAAACAAGATTGAGAGGTCCCAAGGATTATCAGCAAAGGTTGAAGCTCAAATGCAGACATTGGATTAAACCCGAGATGAAATGAAAATAGAAATAAAAAGGAGAGAGGGCTGGGGCTTAGAAGTGGAACCCTTGCCTGGCATGCATGGGGCCCTGGGTTCTAGTCCCAGCAACACCAGGAGGAAGGAAGGAAGAAGCAGAAGCAGAGGCCTCACTGAGTTAACATGCCCATCACGTGACTCGGCATACAGGACACGAAGCAGATGTTTGGCCTTACATTCATTCCAAACAGAAACCCAGGAGGCTGAGGTTACCCATAGACAAGGAAACCCAGAGTTAAAACAATACGATTGGCAGATGCGGTGATGCACACCTGTGAACGGGAATGCAAGGCCCTCCGTTCTCAACCACAGGGTGAGTTCCAGGCCAGGCTCGTCCACATGAGACTGTCTACAAATAAATAAAATAAAAAGTTCCTGCCAGCTGGCTCCGAGGCTGGGCACTTGCCACTGTGTTCAATTCATGGAGCCACATGGTGGAAACAGAGAACCATCTTCCTTACAAACACACACATACACACACACACACACCAAAATCAACACTTTCAAAAGATTCATTTCATCACAGATTTTATTGTATATCAGTGCTCTGTCTCCTTGCATTCCAGAAGGAATCTGATCCCATTACAGGTGGTTGTGAGCCACCATGTGGGTGCTGGGAATTGAACTCAGGACCTCTGGAAGAACAGTCAAGTGCTCCTAACCACTAAGCCATCTCTCTAGTCCCCAAATCAACATTTTCTTTTCTTTTTTGGTTTTTCAAGACAGGGTTTCTCTGTAACTTTGGAGCCTGTCCTGGAACTCAGTCTGTAGACCAGGCTGGTCTCTAAGTCATCTCACCGAGATCCGTCTGCCTCTGCCTCCCGAGTGCTGGGATTAAAGGTGTGGGCCATCAACGGCCGGCCTCAACGTTTCTTAAGGGGACTGGAGAGATGGCTCAGCGGTTAAGCGCACTGGCTGCCCTTGCAGAGAGAGAACAAGAAAGGAGGAAGACATGAGGGACTGGCTCAGGGTTGGGAGCAATGACCTCAGCCCAGTGCCAGGCACCCAGGCCCACGGTGCTGTGCCACACCTTGCTGGGGACAGGCACAGAGAACAGGAGTGGCCTTTCAGCCTTCTGTGGCCTCAGTTCCTTGCATACTTCCTCTTGGCCCAGTCAAATTTGCCTCCCGATTGCCCTCCTTGGAGCCAGGCATCTGAGCCCCCGCCCACTGCAGTAAAGACACCAGGCTGTGTTCAAACTTTATTGTTCACAGTGAAGATAAGGCCCCTCAAGAACTACGTCGTAAGGTTATATACGCTGGGCCACCACATGGAAGCCGGCACTGAGGGAACCGTCCCGACCCTCCCCGGAGCCTTCCTCTCTCAGGATCAGGAAGGCACTCAGAGCTTGGAGAAGGTGACACTTTTTGTGTCTTTCTTCTCCATGACTGCCTGGACAGACTTGATTATGTCCTGGGTCTGAAGCATGCTCATGTTCCAGGAGGCCTGGATCAAGGGTGTGGGAAAGACGGGCAGGGCGCCAATCAGAGGAGGTGTGTGCACATGCAGACCCACCCCCAGCCCTCGCTGGCCGCTCTGGACCAGGGAGGCCCATGACTGGTATAGGTGGCCTTTACCATGTAGTCAAGGCTCTCGTCCACAGTATGGTCTCGGGAGTAGACCAGGTTGATTTTTGACCCCTGCACAGCCACAGGACTCTTGCTAGAAATCTCAGCCGCCAGGGCAAAGGCTGCATCCAACATGTTGTCCTTATCTGGGAACACTCGGCTGCCAGGGAAGGAAGAGGTGAGAGGTGGCAGAGCCCTTTCCCTGCGGATGGCCAGGTGGCCTCACAGAGAAAACGGAAACCCAACCACGGGGCTCAGTCAGCCACGGGCGGGGTCATGCTCAGAGGAAGGCCACTGAGAAAGGCCCAGGAGGCCATGGCGCCTCACCCTGGCCTGGGTGGCCCTATGCCCCTCCCTGCCATCAGCCAGTCGGGGTCCTACCTGACCAGCCCACTGTCCAGGGCCTCGTCAGCCATCATCTTTCGTGCGGTGAAGGTGAGCTCATTGACCAGGCTGTAAGGACAGGGAGGTCAGGAGCTGATGTCATCTGGGTCTGCCCCTCCTCTCCGGGTCCACTACTGTCCCTCTCACCTCTGGTTCCCAATGACCTTGGGCAGTCGCTGCAGTGTCCCCACGTCGGCAGCCAGGCCCAAATCCACCTCCTAGAGGGGAACACTGTCAAGGTCTGCTCTGCGTCCGCCATGGCTCCCACACAAGCTCAGCGCCCCACCCTCCAGCTCAGACACCTCAAGAGGCGATGCTACCTGGACCCCCAGCTTGCTCACAAGGCCCTTTCCAGAACCCTGGCTCCACTCCAGCCCTTGTACAGATGACAGCTGTGTCTATGCATAAACCACTAACTCATGATGGGTGCGCCCAGGATGACATCCTCCACCTCCACAGCTGAGCCTGCATCCCCTTTCGGAGCTGGGCAGTGCCAACTCAGAGCTTTTTGTCCATTCATGCCCTCTACCATGAGCTGTGTACCCGCCCACCTTTCTGCCAGGGTCTCACTGTGTGGCTCAGGTTGGTCTGTGTGGTGTCAAGTGTTTCCTGTCAACCTGACAGAACCTAGAGATCAGCCTCTGGGGTACTGTCTTTTTTGTTGTTTGGCTTTTTTTTGAGACGGGGTTTCTCTGTGTATCCCAGGCTGTCCTGGAACATGCTCTATAGACCAGGCTGGCCTCGAACTCCTGCCTCTGCCTCCTTGGGCTGGGATTAAAGGCATGCCTGGCGTGAGGTACTATCCTGAGTGCAATGACTGATGTAGTTAATTGTGGGTGGGACCCTGGCATGTGGCGGGCTGGACACTTCTCTCTTCTAACTACAGTGATGAGGCCACGGCCTCCTTCAGGGTCTGTCTTCACTTGCCAGATACGATTGACCGTGCCTTGAACTGTGGGCTAAAACAAACCCCTTCTCTGTTAAGTTGCTTTTCCAAGGATTTTAGCATGGCAACAGGAAAAGAAACCACGGCAGCCCTGCACTCATTGGGGCAGCCCAGGCTGCCAAAGTCTCTGTGGTTGAGACTACAGGTGTGCCCCGCCCTTGCCAGAACCTTACACCTTCTTCCAGGAAACCCTGAGTCCCAGCTGCCGTGGCCTGCACTGTCCCTGCCCTGCCCCCATCCTGTGGCTGTGTAGCCCTGCAAGGGTCCCAGAAAGGCAGGAGCTCAGGAAGTGCCTCACCTTGACCTGGAAGAAAGCATCCTGGGCACAGTAGCGAATGTCACAGGCAGTGATGAGGTCCACGCCTGGAAGGAAAAGGCCAGGGACAATGAATAATGACGAACCGATTCCTCTTCCCAAAACACGCGGTCACAGCTGGGGACCACCTGTAATTAGCAACAGCTGAGCTGAGGCCAGGGTGGGGGGCGGGGAGCAGGGGGTAGCAGCTCCCCCTGCAGGCACCCTAGTGGTGGCTGGCGACTCCAGACTCACCTCCACCAATACAGCCTCCATGAATGGCAGCAATCACTGGCTTAGGGCACTAAAATAGAAAGGACGGTTGGGGGGTCAAAGCTGGCAGAGGAAGGGTAGGCAGAAAGGATGCCATGCAGCCCTGTCACCTTCTCAATGACAGTGAAGGTCTTCTGGAATTTGCTGATGAGGTCGCGGAGGTGCCAGGCCATGCGGGCTGCATCATCTCCTGGGGTCTGCAGGAGGTGTGCCATGTCCACGACGTCAATACCTGACGAGAAGAGAAGCCATGAGGAGGCCCCACTTAACTACCCCAGACAGGGCTCAAACCCAAACACCACCACAGCACAGAGAAAAGCTCACGAAGGTCTGGGGGTATCTGGGATTTCCTGGGGGGGGGCACCAAATGACTATTTGCTGCTTTGTTTTACCCAAGACAAAGTTTCTCCATGTAGCTCAGGCTGACCTCAATTTCCAGCCTCAGCTTTCCCCGATGCAGGCAATATTGGCATTCCCAAGAAAGACATTCTCCATGAATGGTAAACTATCCCCACACATCACTAGGGGGAGCCCATGAGCCCTGCCTCCCAAACCCAGCAGAATAAATATGAAGTCCGAGCTGCTTTGCACTTGCCTACCATTCATCAGTGAGGTGGGGGACATGGCTCTGTGCTAAAGCATTTGCTTAGAATCCGCAAGTAAAGACCTAGGAGTGTGGCTCAGTGGTGGAGCCCCTGCCTAGAATCCCCCAGTGAGGGGCTGGGGTGTGGCTCAGTGGTAGAGCCCCTGCCTAGAATCCCCCAGTGAGGGGCTGGGGTGTGGCTCAGTGGTAGAGCCCCTGCCTAGAATGCAGAAGTCTCAGGTTGGTCCACAATGTGTTAAAAAACCATTCTAAATAAGAGAGACACAAAGCCCTTGAATCTCATGCTTGTAGTCCAGCACTTTGGAAGCAGAGGTAGAAAGATTGCTTTAAGTTCGAGGCCAGCCTTGTCTACATACTGAGTTCCAGACAGCCAGGGCTACAGAAGCAGTCTCAAAAATCACTAAATAAACAAATAACTGCTGCAGAGATTTCCCAGGGCTTAAGAGCGCTTGTTTTGTTTTTTGTTTTTTTTTTTTGTTTGTTTGTTTGTTTTGTTTTGTTTTTGCAGATGTCTTAGCAAAGCTGCAGTGATCATCACCACCTTCCAAGCTTCATCATGCCACCCAAAGATGACAAGAAGAAAAATGCCAGAAAGCCAGCCAAAAAAGACAAAGAGCCAGTAAACAAGTCTGGTGGCTAGGCCAGAAAGAAGTGGTCCAGGGCTGGAGGTCTTGAGTTCAAGACTCAGCAACCACATGGTGGCTCACAACCATCTGTAATGAGATCTGGTGCCCTCTTCTGGCCTGCAGGTGTACATGCAGGCAGAACACTATACCTAATAAAATTAAAAAAAAAAAAAAAGTGGTCCAAAGACAAAGTTCAGGATAAGCTCAACTACCTACTCTTGTTTGACAAAGCTCTGTATGACAAACTAACTATAAGGTAGTTCCCAACAATCAGCTGTGGTCTCTGAGGGACTGAAGATTTGAGGTTCCTGGGCCAGGGCAGCCCTCCAGGAGCTACTTAGTAAGATTTACCAAGCTCGTTTCAAAGCACAAAGTCCAAGTAATTCCCACCAAAAACACAATGGGTAGAAATGCCCTAGCTGCTGATGAAGATGCAGGAGCAGGTTCCATCAGCTGTACATTTGGAAAAATAAAACTATTAAATTAAAAAAAGAGAGAGTGCTGGTCATTGGTGGCGCACACCTTAGTCCCAGCACTCAGGAGGCAGAGGCAGGAGGATCTCTGTGAGTTTGAGACAGACCAACCTGGTCTATAAAGCTACACAGAGAAACCCTGTCTTGAAAATAAAAATAAAAAAAAATTTTTTTTATTGGCTTCTCTTTTATGGCTTCTCTTCCAAAGGTTCTGACACCTTAACACAGATGTATGTGTAGGCAAAACACCAATGCACACACAATAAATGAAGAAATTAACTTAAGGGAAAAAAAAGCACCTGTTACTCTTTTGTGGGTGGGCACTGGGGAGGGAGGTTGTCCAGTTCCTAGCATCGACGTAGTCACTCACAACCATCTGTAATTCCTTTTTTTTTTTTTTTTTTTTTTTTTTGGTGGGGGGAGCATTTGAGACAGGGTTTCTCTGTGTAACAGCTCTGGCTGTCCTAGAACTTGCTCTCTAAAGCAGTCTGGCCTTGAACTCACAGACATGTGCCTGCCTCTGCCTCCTGAGTGTTGGGATTAAAGGCGTATGCCACTACCACCTGACCCATCTGTAACATCTAACTCCAGTTCGAGGGTGCTAGGCATATATGTAATGTACTTACATACATGCAGGTAAAATGCTCACGTGTAAAATAAAAACTAATGTTTAAAAATTACAATAAAATACGCAACCCTTTCTGTGGCCTCCCCAGCCATGAACAAACCTTACTTCTGTCTGCTGCTTAGGACACAGTGGCTCCAATAGTCCCATCCAGTGCCTCTACACTTCCTGTTCCCTGTGCCAACAACTGTCCCCTCATGATCACAAGACTGGCTACCGGCCTTACGTCCACACAGCTCAAAGATCACCTTCTGAGAGAGGCCCTCACCCAGTTCCCTCTATCTCTGGCTCTACCTTTCTCCAATCCATCTGTCTGATCCAGTATACCTAGTCATCATTCTAGAATGTCAGCTCTACGAACTGGAGTTTTGTTGTTGTTTGTGAAACAGGGTCTCACTCTGGCTGGTCTGAAACTCACAGAGATCCTCCTGCCTCTGCCTTCTAAATGCTGGGATTAAAGGCTTTAATCCCAGTTTGGGCTCAAGAGTAAGGGGACCTCTGGAGCAAGCTGGCTAGTCAGACCAGTTTGAGTGCCAAACTCCAGACTCAGCAAGAGACACGCCTCAATGTACAAGGTTGAGCGCAATCAAGAAAGCCCTGGGACATCAGTCTTGGGCTGTGCCTTCACACATGTGCACACACATGCAAAAACATAAACAGAACAAAAAAGAACAAACAAGAGGCGGGCTGAACAGCATGTTCAAGTAGGAGGATCAGAAACTCAAGGCTAGTCTGGCCTAGATAGTGAGATCTCATCACAAAGAAACAATTAGAAATTTGAGGATTGTAAAAAAAAAAAAAGTACCTGAAGTTAAAAAAAAAAAAAAAAAAAAAAATCGCTGGGTATGTTTCACAGCAGAAGAGAGATGCCAGAAAAAAGGCCATGGAGGGTGTGAAGCCTTCCAGGAGGGCTCAATGGGATAGAAGGGCGGTGGGGGTGGGGATGGGAGGGAGGGGGGAGAAAGGGAAGGAGAGGGAACTGGGATCGATATGAAAAATAAGAATTTTAAAAAAAACATAGAGAAAAAAAAAGCCATAGTAATAAGTGGAGAAAGGTCCAGAGAGGAGAAAGCCCAGTGGATTTCTGTGTCTGGGGAAGCAAGCAGAAGTCAATACAGTGTGCTGTTACTGACAAGGCCTGTGGCTATGAAAACACATTTGGTCCCCACCACTACAGGCTTTGAGAGGTCCAGAGCCTTGTCGCAGGTCACAGGTCCACCATGGAAATCCAACTTCAGGGTCCTGCCATCATGCTCTGCTGTACTAATTTCTGTGTCGGGACTTGTGAAGAGGGAATTCTGGGGTTTGTACCAGCTCCGGAGTACATCCGCACGTGAATGTCTTAAAATAGACCGAAAGAAAACAGCTGGTCTAGCCTGGCGTTGGTGGCATGCGCCTGATGGGGGATGTCCTTCTGTGTGCTGTGAATATGTTTCTCTTATTGGTTGATGAATAAAGCTGCTTTAGCCGATGGGCAGGCAGGATGTAGCCAAGCTGGAAGTACAGACAGGGCTCCTATACTAGGAGAATTTTGGGAGAGGAACACAGAGAGTTGCCAGAGAGAAGCCATGGACCTGCTGAGGACACACACACACACACACGTAATTATTTTTTCCTCTAGACAGGCTTTCTCTGTAGCCCTGGCTGTCCTGTATCTCGCTCTGTAGACCAGGCTGGTCTTGGGCTCAGAGATCCGCCTGCCTCTGCCTAGTGCTGGTACTAAGCGTGTGCATCACCAGATGGGCTATTATTTTTTTCTTTTATTAATCATTTCAGAAGAAAGGGAGGAGGGCCAAGGCACTGCTCAGGCATGGTGTCACGAGTGTTTATAATCCCAGCACTCAACTTTTAGGAAGCTGAGGCAGGAGAATTACATCAAGTTCTAGAGCAACCTCGTCTAAATATGGAGTTCCAGGCCAGCCAGAGCTACTTAGGGGAGAAAAACAAAAACAAAAAGCAAAAAGCAAGGGTAAACAAGTAAAATCAGCAAAGAGAGCAGAGGGAAAGGCAGCAAGGCAGCTTTCCCCCAGGAGGAGGGAGGCCAGCAGAGAAATTACCTGAGGTGAACATTTTCCCTGCACCAGATATTACAACAGCCCGACAGTCAGAGTCTTCGGATATCTTCTGGAAGCATTCCACCATCTCCCTGTGTAGGAGCCAGAAGTGAAGGGTTGTCCGTGGAGTGGGAAGCCCCTGTCCCCGCCTCCCCCTGCCTCCTCTCGCAGACGGGCTTCTGAGTCTGCAGACCTCCAGAAGGCCTTGTTCATGGCATTCCTCTTCTCTGGCCGGTTTAGCTGCACATGGAGAACATGCTTCTGAGCCGATGTCACTTGAAGAGACTCATAGTTGTGGTCTGACAATTCCTCGGGAGCTCTTTTGAAGGCCTCTTGTGCAGAAGAGCTCAGAGGCCGAAGGCTGGCATTGCAATTCAGCTGGCTGGTACCTCTCAGCTCTGGGGAGAGATGGGAAGAGCCTTTGCGATTCCAGAATGGAGACATTTCAACAGCATACACCCCTGAGTGACTCAACACAAGTTCCTCGGAGCCCCCGGCTGGCCGGACATAGCTTTTAAGATTAGGATGTGCTTATGAGACTATTTAGTTAGACCCTTGTTTGTGGGAATCACCCAAGCTTGGAGAATCCAGATCGGAAGACAGGCCTAAAAATTCTAACTGCATTAACTACACAACGGCTCCTGCCTCTATAACAAGACTACGCAACAACGAATCCCCCCAGATTCACGGGTAACTCACGCTGCATCAGCAGGCCGTGGAGTTTGCTGGAAACTGCCCTCATCTCTGCAGAGGTCCGCACTGTGGAGTGGCGCGACGGTCCACGGAAGAAAATAAAGGGGGCGGGCATAAACACCCGCCATGTTGGTCAAGGGCATCGAAGCCACCGCGGCCATCAACCTTTAGTAGCAAGGCCCCACCTAGTTCGCCATCTTTACTAAGGGCAACTGTAAATAGCAACTCCCTCCTGTCTCCTGTGCTTAGGACGTTTAAAAGTGAGACCTTTGGCCCAGTGGGAAACTGGCCTGAGAAAACATTTGGCTGCTGGAAAATTCTGTATAAAGTTCATCACAGCGCTGTGTTATAACAAGAAAACTGAGGACAGCTGAAACAGTCAATAATGGCAGCAGCCTAGAAATCTACCGTCCTGCCTGGATATGGTTACAAAAAAGTTGCTAAGATACAGACAGGACAGAATCAAGCAGTTTTAATTCCCTCGCAGCCGGAAAGTGGTACAGCTTCCCGCGGGACTCGGAAAGCTGGCTCCTGGAACAAGGAAGTCACTGGTTCAAGGTTCCTGGATACTTAGAAATGCTTAGGCAGGAAGGAGTAAATGACTCTAACGCCCACCTTCCTTTATTTTGTGGTACAAGGGTCCTGAGACAAGCAGCATAGGCAAGCATTCTACCACAGCACAACCCCTAGCCTCTTTTTTTTTTTTTTTTTAAATATAAGGTTTACATAAACCTGGGGCTGCCCTGGCACTTGCAAGGATCCTCCTGCATCCTGAAAAGGGGTGATGTGCACCAACGTGCTCTAAAAAGAACCCAAAGAAGTGTAGTGGCTCACGTCTTTAATCCTAGCCCTCAAGGGACCCAGGTAGGTGGATCTCTGTGAGCAACTTCCAGGACAGCTAGGACTATGTAGAGACCCTACCTCTAAACAAAACAAATTCACACACACACTCTCTCTCTGTCCTTTTTTTTTTTTTTTTTTTTTCCTTTCTTTCTGATGGTTTTTTGTTTGCTTGCTTGTTTTTTGAGACAAGGTTTCTGTGTCATGGAACTCACTTTGTTGACTAGGCCGGCCTTACACTCACATAGATCTGCCTGCCTGTGTCTCCCTTGTGCTGGGACTAAAGATGTCCACCACCACACCAGGCTTGCTAGGTTCTTAAAACACACGCAAACACACACTCCCAAAGTACTGAGGATGCATTACCCGAGAGCATAAAATACTGTGTAAGTGTGTTCCTTAGGGAAATGTTTACCAAGAGGGCGAACAGCTGTGTCTGAGCCAGTGGATGTTTCCTTTTTAATGAAATATCTGTAACCCAGGCAGGCTCTTTTTCAAGAGACTATCAGGAGAAAATCCTGTGCAAATACCAAAGTGGGAGAGGAGGATACTCTTAATTTCAGCTAAGCAGCAGTTACCGAAGAGATTTGCCCCGTCAGCAAAAAGACTAGAAAAAAGGTTAGCTCCAGAAGAAAGCCTGGGACAAATGGCTAACTGGTGCCTGTTAGCATATAGAGCACACACTGGTTAAGTATGTCCTTGCAGTTCCTCAGCATCCCCTACTCTGAACTTGAGCTCCTGGCTTTCCTTTCTTCCAGCTCCATTTATTCCCACATGTCCCCATCACTTTTGCCATGCAACCTTTGGTCCCCGCTGCCCCATGGCTGGCTTCAGTCTACTGGTCATGTTTAGTTTACTACCTTCTCTCCCTGCTCTGGACCCTTCCAAATGACCCTGGCGTACCTCCCACCTACAATAAAAACCTTCTCCTCAACCAAACCATGGAGTGGTCATGTCTTCATTTCATTAAGATGTGTACTGTTTAATATAACTAGTACAAAAAGAAAATAATTGTGGTGTGTGTTTGCATCTAAAGGTCAAATTGCCTACAGAGAATACGCTGGGACAGACGGTACGAAGCTCACTTTGAGTAACTTTTATTACATACAGCAAACCCAGGTAGATTTGGTACTTTCCACTTGATAACCCATGATTGCAGAAGGCAGTTTAGCTGGAAGGCCTACACGAGGCTCTCAAGGACACATTGTTACCTCTGCCACTAATGTGGCCTGCTCCTCTGCAGATTACCTCCACCCTCCATGACATCACAGTCCTTAACCCATGCTTCTAGGCCCTGCCTTCTACTGAAGTCATCTTTGGAAGATTCCATCTAAATCCCAGGACTATGTATGTCCCACTACTTAAAGGGCTTGCATTCTTCAACTCCACTGTGAAGTTTGCTTCAGGATGAACATCAGGTTACTTAGCAAGAAAGGTCTGGAAACTACTTCAGGAGGACCAGGTTAGGTAAAGCATCAGCTAACAATGATACTCTGCAGGAGCCAAAGTACTGTTGTAACTTGTCATACAGAGCATTGTTCCAAACTTTCCTTCCTAAACAGACACAGCCATAGAGGAACTTCCAATCCCAATGACTTTGACCCCAAGTCTTCATTTGGTGGAAATCTGAGCATACAAACAATAGAAATGTAAAAGGACAGACCTGTAATCCCAGCACTCAGGAGGCAAAGGCAGGGAAGCTCTGTGAGTTCCAGGGCAGCCAGGGCTACAGAGAAACGGTTTGGGAATTAAAAACAAAAAAAGGAAAATAACTCCTTACTGGGGGGCGGGGGAATACACTTTTTTTTTTTGGTTTGCTTAATCCAGTCTTGTCTTGCACTCACAAACACAGGTGTCTAGGTCCATTCTGTGGGTCCTCCTATACCAGCTTTACAACTTCCCTCATGTGGCAGCGTCATTGTCCTGACTAGCCACAAATTTGTGAGGCCCTGGGGGGGGGGGGGTGTGCTCCAACTTTGAGACAGTATTTCTCTGTGCATCCCTGGCTGTCCTGGATCTCACCCTGTAGATCAGGTTAGATTCCCTTGGATTAATGATACGCACCACTTGTCTGTAATTGTATCCATGGTACATGTGCGTGCTTGTGCACACAGGCCAGAACGACCTGTGGAACTGGATTTCTCCTTCCACCTGGGATTGAACTCAGCCAACTCAGGCATGCCAGCAAGAACCTTTAGCCACTGAGTCATTCGCTAGTGGCTAATTCCACTTTTTCAATGACCGACCTGACTAAAATGAACCTGCTTGGGCAGCGCCCTTCTAGAATGCCACTGCAGGTTACTGTCCATCCTGAGCCTACTGCCCTCCAGGTAACTGTAGGAAGGAACAGACAGCCCACCCTGCAGCCCAGCAAAGTTTTATTTTCCAAACCATTTTATTGAAATGTGCCAAGATACATGGGCAGCACAAATATATGAACAGGGGAAAAAAAAATCACACATACAGTTATCTTAAAAAGTGAAGGTTAATCTTGGGAGATACCAGTTCCCCTCCCCCCCTCCAGAGTTCCAGCATTTCCGTTGTGGTTAAGCCTCTACTGACCTAGCATTTAAAAAGGAAACAAGAACTGCAAAAATAAATCAAAACTGAACAAAACCAAAGAAAACCAACAGCGTAAAGGAAAGGGACGTTTCCTGCTCAGATGTGCTCTTCCCAGCGTCTAATTAGGAGGCGTGCTGTGCGGTGGAGAAGCACAGCTTCAGAGTGTACGGGTACGGGCCATCTGCAAACAAGAGGACAGGTGTCAGGCTGCACTCTGGAGCTCCCGACCAATCACCCCGATCTGCACCCACACACCCTCTTCTGCAGCTCAATTACAGGGATGCAACTCATCACCAGCCAGGGCGCCCAAGCTCTCAGGTGGGTGGAACCAAACAGCCTGGCTGGCTTCCCAGGAGAATGTCATCAGACTGCTCTCCTGGTGACCAAGTCCCATCTGCCTGTGTCTGCGACAAAGGCAATCTCTAGGGTCCTATCTTGCGGGCAGAAGGATGGCTCTGGCACATAGCCAGACAAACCATCAGGCCACCAGGGGGACTCTGCAGGACACACAGACACTCACTTGGGTTTTTCATCTGATAATGGTTCAGGAAGCCCAAGGTCTCCAGGGCATCACTCTTAGAGTCCCACTCCAGCAGCCCAGAGGAGCTGCGCTCACCTAAGTAGAAAGCAAGAGACAGCAACAGGCTTAGGCTGAGCCAGGAGAAGGTGGGTCTCCTCCCAGCAAGCACCTAGAGGCAGAGGCCTGGAGGACATGATGCAGAGACTCACTTTTGCCTGAAAATACTTTCACGGAGGTTGGCCGCTTCACTCCCAGCTCATCGCAGATCTAGGGCAGAAAGATAAGAGCATTCAGAAACCATGGGCTGCCTCTGGGAGCCTTCAAGCAGACCGGGCCTAGTATGTTGTTTTCTAAAGACAGCTGTGATCACAAACACAAGGCACACTATCACCTTGCAACTTGAAAAGTCAGAAATACATCTCACTGAGGCAGCCCAAAGAGAGGAAACTGCTTCTCAACTCCCATCCTGGCAGCCTGGTGGGTACGAGTGGCATTAAATGAGTTGCTCAATTGCTGGGCAACATCCGTGGGCCTCTCGTCTCCTCTGACCAGGCTGTCCAAAGTGTCACCTTCTAGAGCCATCCAGACACCCAGAGGCCTGATGACCGAGATCTGACTCCACTCTTGGCAAATCACCAGTCATTACCACTTGTCCAAGGTGTGCAGGAGCACAGGAGACAAATACTGCATTGTGACATGCACGCTTCCGCCCTCTCCTGCCCCAGCAGTGAGCAGGGCACCTGTCTGGTTTGTTTTTCTGTTCCCAAAACCCCGGGCCCTGTGAGTGGCATTAGGAGCCCACCAATTACTTACAGAACGAGCCTAACTCAAGGACAATGCCATGATGGAGCAGCCACAACACCTACCTCGAAGAAGTTCTCCTCAGTCACCTCCAGGGGAGCGTTGAAGAAATGCAGGACGTTACTAGGGTGCTGGATACGGTTCTTAGCTGCCTGCTCTGGGGTGGAGAACCGATTGTTCCTTGACTCGCTGAAGTCTTTGTAACTGCAGGACCCGTCTTCTAGCCCGTATGACTGGCCGGGCATAATGGCTGGCTGCTTGGAAACACTGAGAAGAGAAGGCAAGTCTTTGTCCTTTGTGTTCTTGGGCCTGCCAGAGGCTCAGCCAGTCCCATGTCTGGGTAACACTGCGGATGCTTTAACTCATGTTACTGCACGGGGCTTC